ATAAGTATGCTAAGGCAGATTACAAAATATAAATCCCCCACATAAGAATATGACTAATTTTAGTTTATTATGTAAAATATATTAGAAAAAAATCATACAAGAGCATCAATTTTAGGACTTAAAACTTATTAAGATTGAAAATAAATCATATATTTCTGGTCTTATTTTAAACAATAAAAATGAGCTATATTAAAATATTCAGCATTATTTTAAAAAAGGCAGTTGAAATACTTAATTTTTGAAAAAATTATTACCTTTACTGTTAGGGAGAATTAATAATTAATACAGTTTAAAAACTTTTAATCTCTGCCAAACCAAAATCAGAAAATACTTTCACATCTTGGCCTTCTAAAGACTTTTTTCTTTACAATTAAAAATAAAGTTTATTTCTTTTAAAATAATTACTGGGGGAATATATTACTTTTTCATTGATACACTATACATTTTAAATTCAAGAAGGCATTCACGTTCATCTTTTTAAACCTAAAGCGTAATCCTAAATACTTTTAAGGAATCCAATGAAACCAATTATTCATAAATCAGAGACATAAAAAATAAAATCTCCTTCAGTCATTTATATTTCAGTATGATTAGAACAACTGGGGTTGTAGGTGAGCATTACATGTAAAATCTTAAAGTATGCTCCACAGAACAAACAAACATTGATGTCATCAGTTCCTATGGCAGTATAAATTCTATAATCACTTGAAATAACCATTTAACCTCCAATACTGCAAAGTTTTCTATGCAAATTAGTTCAAGCTGTATCTTAACATAAAATTCATTGTTCATGTTTCAGATTATATGTCATACCATGTTTATTATCTAGATTGTGTTAATAGATAACTGAAGAAAATGATGTCATTTATTACCCAACTGCTTTTTATCTTTCTTTCAAATTCTAAGCATATTTTATTGTTATGTAATAGATATAAATGTGTGTTTCAGAGCATACTGTGAGTTCCCTGTGTCCTTAAAGTCTCAAGGATACTATCTTTGGTTGGTATCTCTGGATTATTTGTAATTTGTTTAAGCTATCACCAAATGTCATAGATTCAGTTCACTTTCATATTTTTTACAATTATAAAAATGATTTAGTTGACAGTCTGATGCCTATCTCTACTTATTTCCTTTGGATAAACTTTTAGAAGTGGAAAACCTGACAAGAGGATATGAACACTTCTGAAGTCTCTGACACACAATATCAAACTGCCTTTCAAAGGAGACATACCAATTTCCAAATGTCTTCAATAATGTATAGAATATTCTATTTTCCTAGGCAATCAACACTAAACATAAAATTGTCTTAATCTTTGCTAATTTTCATAGTTTTAATTACATTTACTTATTACTAATGTGCCCAACACTTTTATGTCTTTTTGGATTTTTGTAAGTATTTTTTTATGACTAGGCTGTTTATGACCTTTGTCCAGTTTTCTATATTGGCTCATTTTGGAAGTACTTCAGTATAGTAGTGAACTTATGATCTAAGAACTGACATTTTACAGAGGAAAAATGATCAAGAATGCCATAGAAGAAAAATTGCAGGTTATACTCTCTATGTGATTGTGTCATGGGGCATAGAAAGTAATCTGCCAAGAATAAAAAAGACAAGAAGCATGAGAGAAGCATACAGAATAAGTTGCAGTCCATACACCCCAGTTCATCCCTGGCATACCTTCCCACCCACTGAGATTTCTTGTCATTAGCTCTTGTGGAAAGAGAAGAGACTGAGTGAGTTGTGAATCAAGATCCTCTCACAAATAATCATACAAAAAGCACTGCAACTGAGGGTAGCATATCAGTTGCCACAAAGATAAGAATGCTTTATGCAGGCAAAGACCTTTGAACAGCTAAAGACAGAAGGCTCTTGATACACACTCAGTACAGTGATCTACTTTATCATCCATTCAAACAGATTTTCCCCCTTCATCAGGGCATCTTTTCATTTTATTTGCTATTCAAAACACTAGGACACAAAGGATGCTCTTCATCTTGTGTGCTACTGAAATGAAATCTTGAGGAAGAAAAAAGAGAAAAAAGAACCTTGCCCTAAATTCCCTTTCAAAAGTGAGGTGTGAAAAGACATCAAGCAGAGTACACAGTGTTATTGTTACGAAAAAGTCAATTCTGCAAGTACAGAGACTACCGCCATCAGCTGCGGCTCAATCACTTCCTCACCTACAGTGAATAATAAGAAAAATCCAAGGAGAAAGGGTTCCACTGGGGAAATGGAATTTCTCATTGTCCTCCTGCTTGATTATCGTTAACATCTATGGGCACAGCTGTTTCCGTTTTCTGAGTAATCCTGAAGTCAATGCTATAATATTGGCTCCCTTCTTCCAACTCCCCAGGGTCTATTATACATCACCTCATGGCTTAGTCTGAGAAGCAGAAATTTCCAATTTATCTTTTCATTAAGCAACGAATGAGAATGAATATTTGCTTTAATTTGGTACTTAGAAGATTAAAAATTATATTTAAATTGATATAGCCTTGAGAACTTGGTCTTATACTTTAACAGATATGCAAATGAATTTTAATTGCAAGGTATAACCTAAGTGATAATATAGAAGATAATCAAAATCAAAGATATTTTATCAAAATATTCAATTGTTATTATATTTAAATTCCCATGGATTTTCTTTTTAAAAAATTGGGGTTTTTTTCCTGTCAAACAAGGTGAAGAACCAAGCTATCTCAAAATTCTTCTTGACATAATTTTATATGCTGCAGAATATATCTTTATATACCACAACCATTATTAGATATATTGCTTTAGGCTTTATTGTTTCAAGATAAAATGTCTTACTTATTATCTGAATGAGACTTTAAAAAGCCACAATGGTAAATAATATGCATGTAATTCTCATTAGGATCTTGGGCTATGTTGATATTTACTCCAGAAAAAACTTATTACTAGATTGACTCTTCTTTGATTCCAACTATAAGTTTTATTAGTTCAAGTAACAAAAGAGCTCATGGACAGTGAAAAAGTTGAGACAAGATCACATTTACATTCATGGTTAGTAATCCACTTGACCTATAGTCACTAAAAAATGCTTCTTTAATGAAAATCTGTACAATGAATAAATTAATAAATAATAAAGTAGTTTCCCCATATGGCAGTTTGTTTTTGTAATGGAGGGGCACTCCAGAATTTTAAATCCCGATGTTGTTTTTTCCATACATGAAGAGTGTACTCCTAAGATTTGATTTTATATATGTATGTGTGTGTGTATGTGTGTGTGTGTGTGTGTATAAATGAATATACACTAGATTTTTCAAGCATATTTTTTTACACTCCCTTCTTATAATCCTCCATTCACAGAGCTCCATATCAATCTAAAAGGTAACATCTCTCTATAAAATTAACACTGGACTTAAAAGACATATATACATACACATCTTCCACCAAATTTGTTTTACTTTAATGCAAGGAAACGGTAAGAATAGTCAAAGCCCATTCATATAATTAACATCTAAGGCGCACACTATTCAACATAGTATGCTATTATGCAATTATTCTTGTTTATTTTTACTTTCAGGTATAAAAAGTTCTCCTAGTCCCTAAATTTTTATGTTTTTCTTCTCTGCTGAGATAATTCTCAGAAACTTGGTGACTATCAAGATTTTAGCTACTTTCATCAATTTCCTAGGTTTAAAAGAGGAATATTGCTTTGAGGGCCGAGGGGCATATGGAAGCTGACTGTTTGGAAGGCAATTTGTATACAGTCATACCTTGGTACTTGTCAGGTTCAGAACTTGTCAAACCCTGTACTTGTCACATTTTGATGAGAAAAAAAGTGTTTCATCAAAACAGACTGACAGTGGCCAGAGGGGAGGGGGAAGAGGGATAATGGTGGAAAGAAGGGGAAGAGATTAGTCAAGGAACATGTATGAATGACCCGTGGACATGGACAACAGTGTGGGGACTGACTGTGGGGGCGGGGCAGGGGGTGGGCTGGGTGTAAGAGGGCAAAGGGAGAAAAAGTGGGACAACTGTAAGAGAATAACTATAAAAATTTTTTTTAAATATTTCATCACTCATCACTTGCTTGCCACTCAGTGCCCCTTTCTTGTGATGAAACAGGTCAACAACGTCAGTCACAGTACTTTGGTACTGGGCGGTTTTGGCACTCATCACGAGTTCCAGAACAAATTAACAAGTACCAAGGTACCACTGTACTTGTTCGCTCTGAAAGATGCTCAGCTTATTTGATGTTAATATTTGGTATTATGTGATTTTGTGAACTGACTTTTAAAGCCTCAGGTGAAAAACAAAAGCTTTCCCCCCCGTTGATGCCCCCCTTTTTCACTCAGTTTGTTTTGATGAATAATGTCAAATCACCAAATGAACACTGTATGTTTTGTCCCAAAGAAACACAAAAGCTCATTCTATGCCGTAGAAGTGGATCTGGTAAAATTCAATCACAAAATAAAACAAGACAAAAAAATAAAATTATCTGAATAGGCCTGGTGACTGATGTGTCTGTCTTTTATTTCATCATCTTTATTTACTCCCATTTCATGTTTGCTTGACTGATTTTTAACTCACTAAAAAATTAATTAATTAAAAAACTTAAGTTTCAACAAAGAACATATGGGAAGTGATGTTTTCATACCTTTGTACAAGTGAAAATCAATAGTGTTTTCATGGCTGGATCGTACATAGCTAATACCTTTCTAGTTCAGGTTAGACTCGGGTGGTAAAATTGAACCCTACATTTTCCAAATATCTCCCAATTTTGTACTGTATTTACCTGATTTTATATTACAACTAATTGTACTGTTTATGTTCCTATTCTTTACCCACAAGATAACCAATGGTAATAGGACATGGGTTTTTCTACCTTCAAAAAGTTGTTTACAATAAACTACAAACTTTTAAAAATTAATCTGTGAAATGGTATCACAGAAAAAGTTCATTGTGATAGTTGTACTGACAAAGACAATAATTTTAATATTTTATCAGTTAAAATTCTGAACAAAATACATACCCAAACCTTCTGATTCAAATAGACATGTTTCATCAACCCCTAAATCTCGGCACCAGGATAAGAAATTTGCAGTATTGTCTCGGGCAAAAAAGGAGCCTGAGGGTGCACTGGTTTTGCAGGGAATCTTCTTCAATGGCAGATTCTGGGGGAAAAAAAAGAAAGAAAAGACAAGAAATCTCACTCTGGAGGAATTCTGGCAAAGTCATTACAGTAACATATTAAATATATTTATGTTTTCAACAAAATGCTTTGGGATGACCTCATGTGAATAAACAGGTTAGTGAAGAACTATAGAAAAGGAAGTGAAATGGAAATAAAACTTAGTTGGCATTAAGAGACTATAAAAATCTATGCCTGTGAACAGACTTTTTAGTATCTAGTGGTAAATATACATAAATCCCTTCCCTGGTTCAGACAGCCTCCTTTCTTTCTCTTCCATCTAAGTAGTCTATCATTTCTAACGAAGTATTTATAAATGCATTTCTCTTTTATGAAAGACGAATGAAACATAAATGATAAATGAATATATAATATATAACACACACATCTGCATTCTTATGTGCATATATACACACATCATAAAAACTACACAGTAACTATAAATTCAAAAAGAAATGAGCAGAATTGTGTAACATCACAAGTCTTCATCACCAATACTGAAAAAAATATGAAAAATCTTTTAACAATAACATTCAGCTACCTTTCTTCTAGACTCTTTTCTTTTAAACCATAGAGTACTGTTATATAAAAATCATTCTGGTTAGATTTCTGCTATCTGACCTTGAAATATATAGTTCACATTCTGCATCATTTCTCTTCTGGGATAAGAAAATGCTTAAGGTATGGAGGGTGTGAACCTCTATAGGCTTTTCTATTACCGGCTTCTCCTAATTTTAGCCAGGAAATCTCCTTTGGCACTATACCAAGTGTTATAAAGAGTTGTGTGGCATTTTTTAAAAGGAGAATATAATCGGTTTCCATGGCATTCCATGAAGTTATTCAAAGCAACTCTACATGAAAGACTGAGCCATGAATTTGGATGATCTGGGCTACATAGAGCTTTGCCTCAGAGAGAAAAAAGATCAAGAGAGAAGTACTTTGTGATTTACATTCATAGATAGGTTGTTTCATCTTCTCACTGTGAACCAGCAAATATAACTAAATGTTGTCGATTGTTGAGCCCATATATAAGGATGGTTATAAAAATGAAATAATGGCCCATTAGTGGACTGATGAAGTTCTGCTAACATCAAACTACTACTAGAGTTCTTTGTGAGCAAAGATTTTATGGCTAGACAACTAGAACACTCGGTTACTATATCATTTAAAGGTTGTGCTGATCCATCTCTCATTTTTTTTTTTGCTGACTAAATTTGACTTTGGGTAGATATAATCAAAATTTTTGCATGAATACACAAATACCTACATAGAGATATATTTTAGGTACTAAGATAGGTATATATAAAAAAGGGAGTTATCTATATAGCACTACCCCTTTAACCACCTTGACAATGGTTTTCAGAGAAATACTTTCCTATATGAATTGTAAAAACAATCAGAAATAGTATAGTATAATATCTCTTTCATAAAATATTCACTAACACCATTTAGTATTTATTAAAATTAAAATACATATATCCTTAAATCTAGCAATTCACCTTCAATTATATATCCTACAGATATAATAGTATTACTGCTTAAAAATATATGTATATTTATTGCTACAGTGACTGAACAAGGCAAAAACAGAAATAAGAATGTGTCAAGAAAGGGCTGGTGGAATAAAATACAGTATATAAATACAATGAAACTCTATAACTCTATGCAACCATTTTTTAAAAACTAAGACAGCCCTGGCTGGTGTGGCTCAGTGGATTGAGCACCAGACTGTGAAACAAATGGTAGCCCAGCTCGATTCCCAGTTTGACAACCCAGGGCACATGCCTGGGTTGCGGGCCAGATCCCCAGTGGGGGATGGGTGAGAGGCAACCACACATTGATGTTTCTCTCCCTCTCTTCCTCCCTCCCTCCCTTCTTCTCTTTCCAAAAAATAAATAAATAAAATCTTTTTAAAAATAAATAAATAAAATAAAAACTAAGACAAATGTATATGTATTGAACCATAAAGGTGTTCGTTATATACTCTTAAGCAAAAACAATAATTTGCCAACATATACATATATATCTTACAATTTTATTTTGTGATATGTATATATACACATACATACTGTTATATGTATATGTGTGTACATATACACACAATATAGATGGGCATATATGAAATTAAATTGCATACAAATATGTTGTATTATGAGTATTGTATTTATTTATGTAATGTTAACTTAGAAAAACTTAGGGAGGCCATGCATCAGAACAACAGTAATTATATTTGAGGAAGGTGACTGATGCATAGAAAATCATTTACTTCTTTTTTTACGTAATTCAAAATAAGTTGTAGGATTTTGAGTGACTTTTCAATATTTTTAGATTAAATATGCAAAACAAATAAATTACATCAGCCAAAACATTAAAAGGTGTATTTTTTGAAACAAACTCTCCAAGAGGTAACTATAAAACTTTTTTATGATGTGAATAAGACACAGGTCATCTTTAAGAACATAATAGATCCAAACACTGAGCCATTTTAAGATCTACCACTTTCATTCCTGCGTAAGGGAAAAAATAGCTTGTGAAACCACTTAAAAGGGATAAATGAATTTGGATCCAAGAACTATAACCTAGGAACTATAAAATATTTGACACAGCAAAGGGCATGCTAAAGGACACGAGGAGCATGATTTATATATCGTAAAGGAATACAGTATCCATATTGCATGAAAGAAGCTACAGATTGATTTGACACTTAGTCCACCAAGAGACACACTTTGAGAGAATGCCCAGAAGCAACAAGCTCCCCCTACTTTGTTCAGCCAACTCTTTAAGAACTTACAATGATAAGCACTGAGTATATAAATAAAAATACCATTTTTTCCCTTCATACAAGCCTGTGGTCCTTACGCAGTCATCTTCATATCATATACCAGAATATAAGTATTTATTTAAAATTCATTCATACTGAAAGACATGAAAATTATTTTGGGACAAATAAAATGAAAGCTGGCTATTGATACTTCATAATTTGGAAATTCTCAGTGCAAAGAAACACATCAGTAACACTAATCTAACAACTTAGCATGTAAGTGATTTATGGAGTATTTATTTCTGTTCTGGAGCTGTTAGATTTAGTGCTTCCATTCAGCTGAAGAGTAGAAACTGTAAACAGTGTAAGAGAAATCTTTCAATTGTCATCCAGATGAAATTTTTTACTTGGTAAAAGTTTCTAAAAGCCAGCTTTATTAGTTCAAATAACTAATGAACACTTACACACAGTGCCTATAAAGGCCATCACATACAACCGGGAAGAGGGATCTCTACTCATTGGCTGAGAGCAGTGGCACATAGCTTATAGGATTCAGCATTCTCCCTGTCTGCACACAAACCAAAATGCAAAGGGTTGAGGGTCTTCCTGGTGTTGATGTGCCATTTATAGCTAAGAGTCTTAGGGCAGAAGTCTGATTTCACTTGCATTAAATTCAATAACACCAGCACTCAGTACGTTTAGAATTTAAAAATATTTTGACACATTTGACACAAAAATATTTATGAAGTTCTGAAAACCTTAGCAATTACATCTCTTCCAGTTCTATGATTTTTAATTGTTAATTTCTCTAGGTTCTCATGAAAATCCTGAAGAAAAAAAAACAGTTCTGAATCTCTTCTTCAATATTAGTAAATAAAACAAAAACAAACAGATATTGAATAAAATCAACTTTTACCTGGCCAAGGAAATCTTGAAGAAGTGGTTTAGAATAGAGAACTGCCCTAAGTAATTATGGAAGTATATACTTGAATAGCTGAAAATTGATCACAGATATGGAGAGGAATACTTCAGATCTAAAGAACTGGAGATTCAATAGAGAAGCTCTACACATAGCTCATTTGATACATCTTCCACACTAGTTTTTCCTTTACTGTTCAATTCTCCCAAGAATTCCTACAGTATTTAATTATATACCACCTTTAATTATTTACTATATGTTTTTCCAGACAACGCTGTCATATATTATGTCTTCCAAACCTGACCAACGAATGCATGAATGAATGGTTAAGACTAGACCCCTCAAACCAGATCATAATCAACATGAGGGCAGGAGCAGAGGTTGTATTAGAGTTTTTAACATTCTCAAAGGAAACATTTCTAGGGTCTTCAAAATTCACTAAATTCACAGTATAATTATACATAACATGCTTCCCATAAAAATCAAGAAATACATAACTGAAAAACGTAAGTCATAACTTCCAACTGTGTTTGAAAGTTACTGAATACAGAATGACAAGTACAGAACAACTGCCAAGGTGAACTGAGACTGGATAGAAATTTAGGCTCCCTTACATACTAGCAAGGGTCATGCTACTGTACTCCAGCCTCCATGATATGGAATTCAATGTTTATGATAGCAAAATGAGAAATGACTACCAATAAACCATTCCTATCATGTGCACATAGTCAATGGAATGCATATTAACTTCCAAGAGTCTTAAATTTATCCTTTCATCTCTCAATGGGAATAACCTAAGTGATGTACTCATACTCATGACCCCTGAAATACTTACAGATTGGATGAATAATATACAAAAGAATGGTTTGAATTCCAAAAATGTCCTCTTCATTCCCTCAGGCAAGAGTCAAGTTAGTTGCAATAAAAAAAAATTCCTAAAGGTTTTTAATTCAATCCTTTACCATTTAGGCACCTGCTAGGACTTTTGGAGTCCAATTACCTGAGTTCAAACTCAGCTGTGTCCCCTTGCTGCAATGATACTTTTGGGTAAATTATTTAATGTTTCAGTGTCTCAGTCTCCTATTCAATAAACACAGAAAATAATGCACAGAAAATTTGGCATATATATGTGTGAATTAAATAATATAAATCAAGTGTAGAAGTATTTAGTAAAGGTTCTTTACTATTGTTGTCATCAATACAAGTAAAAATATGCTACATTGCCTATGATTTCCTTTTCTCATATTTTTCTTGCAAACATTTCATTTTTTTCTTATAGGTACAAGAATCCATAAAAAGATTG